GGTTTTGTATGACTTCAATGCTTCAATCTATTTTTTATCTATTTTCTCAAACGTCATTCATTATAGGTAGCAGAAAGGATTTTTTGGTACTATTTTTATTCGCTATACAAAGGAATCTTTCATTAATTTGAGGAACATTCTACGGAATTTTAATCAGGAATATACGTATAGTTCGAAAGCTTTCACTTTTACAAAAAAAATGAAAGTCAAAGCACGCCTTTGTGTATTCTGTTTCATTATATTATCTCAATTGCTGTGCATAAAACAAGTTATTACCGTTATCTCTGACGTTTGGGTCCGTTGTTAACATAGCATCTATTAAATTCTTATTTATTCCATGCAAACTGTGTTTTAATTGTAAAAAAACCCTGTCATCATTGATATTTCCTGTCTTGTTCCATCCACACAATTCGTACTTTGAGGCAAGAAAATAGGGCTTTCGCCAATTTGCATCAGTTTAGTGTATTTTAACTTTGAAATCTCAAAGTCTAATTCCGCCTGTACATTAACTGATTGGCGGTGAATTCAACTTAATGAGGAACTAATCGAAAGACGATGAAGTTAATTTACGCCAATCATTCGCCCATATCTATCTCCGTACCGATTCCGTCTGTAATTCCAACAGCGAATGACTAAAGTTTATAGGCCTCCAGTTCCAAGAAGTAAATGCGTGCATACGAGCGGAAGGGCAAATTTACATCCTCGGGGCTCTAGTCGCAATTTCATGATTAGAGATTCCACCCGGTTTATATCGTCGTAATTTTCATTCGGTGGCGCCCAAAACTGTAAGAAATATTATGAGCGCGGGAGTATATTGACAATGTTAAGACATAGACTGAAGCGAAATTCTGGAACCTTTTCCGTAATTATTTTCCTAGTTTTCCCTTAATGAAGATTGTTATGACGTTTTCTACTTTATTATTTATGCGGAAACGTTTTACAGCTTTCCATCGTAAAATCATTGCCAGAGCTTTCTAGTGTAGATTGCGTTTCCCTTTTAGCGATAAGTATTGACATTGCCAACTATTGATTGGGACGTTGAGGCCATTTTTATTGAAGCATCCCCTTTGACAGTCCATCGATTTTATCAGTTTCAATTTTTTTACGAAACGAGTTCTCGTATTACGTACTTACGAGAATGTCTTTATTTGTGTTATGATTTTCACTTCGGGCTACAATGTTATGAACATAAAAATTGCTTGAATTATCGACATTGGAGCTCTTAAATTAGTATTAACCTACCCCTAAGACCGTAAAAATCACGAATTTTTGTTTATATACGTGCATGAAGAGAGTGGGAACATGTGAACGAGAAAAAGGAAATTGCAAATCGACAGCGTAACGGGCCTATATCTTTCAGATTTAATCCCATTGTGATTATATCGACATGGTCGTTTCTATTGACAGGTTGTAGCAGCTTACACTTTAATTAAATCAAGGGTAATCCTCCTGTTTGCAACTTTCGTAATTCGCCTAAATCCAACCTACACTTAGCCGACCACGTCGGTGTATGCCAATTAATTCTAGATACCTATCCACTTGAAGAGAGCGAAAGAACGGTTACCTACTCTTTATAAAATTTTCCTTTGAAGAGAAAATTGAAAATCTTGCGCAACCTCTTACAGCTCGGTACAAAGTAAATTACTTGTTAAAACTTCCGCATGTAACAAATATCGTCAGTCTTCCTAATACCTCCACGTTAATCGAGATATTTCAGGTAAAATGATTTCCTGTTGAAAGCTTTTGACATCTGACCACGACGTAAACTACGTTCGCGCTTTTCTGTGCAGCTTTGAAATATAATACCTTCGATAAAACCAAGAGCTAGGGGGATTTCCTTTTTTGCTTTCTTTATAGCTTTATTATGTGGAATAATCAACTTAAGCCAACTTAAGGCTTTTAAGAAAATGATTATACCAACATCAATTTGATTTTTTGAAATACGGATCTAAATCTTTTTTTTCATTTTTGGGTAGCTTTTAATCTCCCCCAAAACCCATTCGAACTCTTACTCAAAATCTACTGTATAACTTGCAAGAATAATCAAGCCGTTAGAGAAAATCTCCGCAATATTCATACTTAAGGTTCACATCTTCATTAGATATGTCTTGAGCAGACGTTCCAATCACCCTTTGGGAGTACCCTCCTGCAATATACTCCGTTCTGGAGATATTTTCACTTCGGTTTACACCTTATTTCAGAAGGAAATGGCCTACTTAGGATATTTAGTGATGCAGTATGGAATCAGCCCGGATCCTAGTCCAATAGAAGCCATCTTCGGCATATTTAAGCAGGTTCAAAGTTTTTTAGGACTATAACTTTGACCGTAGTGTTTACCCTTCGTTTGCTGAGTGCGCTTTTATGTACAGGTTGACGCCTATGATTACGGCCTAGGGGCTCAACTTTATCAAGACATTGACGGCGAAAGAAAAGTGATAGCTTACGCCAGTCGATTGGTGTCACACTCTGAAAGAAGGTGCATTGTTCCCTAAAATGAGACACTGTCATTAGTTTTTGCCTTAATGAAAACTTCCGAATTTAGAAAAAAATCTTAATACTGTGGTTCATGAACCTCCGAGTTTTGCTGCCCAGTCATTACATTTTGGTATTCCTTTGGAGTTGCGAACTGTAACGATTTATTTTCTTCATGACAAAGCATTCATTATTGTTCACGGTATGTTTACTTGTTGAAAGATCCTCATAACTTTGGAATAGATAGCTATTGCTGAAAATTAACAACGCAATTTTACCGCGCAGTGCGTGTCCATTTTCACTTCCTTTCTGTCAAAAACGGTAGCCAGTTACACATCGTTTTACTCAATCAGTTGAACGCGTTAGTTAGAACGCATGGAATTTTAATTGCCGTCATCAATATATAGTAATCTCTGCCGATTGGATTCTTAATTGGGAATTCCGCAATAATTAGGACGAATTCACCTATATACCTCCAATAGTGAAGATAGAATTGAAGATAGAAGAAGATAGGATTTCTTTTTCTTATCGTAGGTACCGCCATTGGCGCCAGTTTCATTTCCCGTAATTGAAGTGTACGTTTCTTTAAGTTCGGGTGATAATTGTGTGATACAATTTTCCATCGAAATTTGGTGCTTCATCTACAACTAGCCCTCTACATTCTATGGCATCACCGACGAAGATTACCTTTGATTTCTTTTTGGGTTTTACTTTTCTAATGGTACTGAAATTGATTGTTACTGTTATTACTACCCTCGTACCGTCTCAATTTCATAGGGGGGCAGTTAAGTTAGAAAATGAGTGGCGCTCAACTGTTGGTAAGTGTAACAAAGGACGAATATCAAATTCCCAGAACAAGCTACCACTGTGACAGATCTGAACCTTGTATTTTCTTATTTAACCCTGAGCTAGTTAGCCGTTTATGCGGCGGGTTTTAGAAAACGCAGCGCTAACTCTATATCGACCCTTGCTATTCCAATAAAATTCAAGGACTCTAGAACCCCCTAAAAGTAGAAAATCGCAAAATTGGGTCCCGATAGACATACGGACGGACAAAACTCAAACAGTACCACATTTTTTTAAATTCTCAAAACAATGCGTTGAAAAGTGAGGACTAACGTATCCCCGCAAATACATTTTATAGTCCGACGAGCGACCGTAAATTTACAAATTGCAGAATTTTTAATGGCAAAAAAGAGATTCAAAATCCCAGGGAGAATCGACAACAACAATGTAATCTAAAAGATTGTTTATTGCGAGGAGGTTTCATTTTTGGAACTAGCTGCAGATTTCTTTCAGGGTTATACGAGGGGTTATACATGCGAACTTCTTTATCACTTGGAAAGATGTTCTAGAATTCATACTACGCATGTGCCTATACAGTGTGGCGCAACTAAAAGATCAAGCCCTAATAATTGCCAAACGAGATGTTATATCGTTTTCACTAAATATACGACATGTGTGAGAAAAAAAGTGATATTGGCAACAATGTGGTAACGTTGTAATAACCGGTGTTCGATTTCACCGCTAGCAGCAAAGAAAAGGATAAGAATTATGAATGTCCATTTAGATTTGGACACTGTAATTTGCAAATTGTTACTGAGAGAAAGGGAAGTTTTGAAGGCATTTTAGGCAAATATAACGGGAAATTTGACCTTCAAGGAAACGTGAAACGAAAAGACACTAAGAATCGCATACGATTTTCAGTAAGGGAATTGTTTGTCATCCTATTCCTCGTATTCGGAAACCAGACTTTTGATCCAGCTCATATTCAATAGCACTAACCCTTGAACTCGTAAAAATGGATTAGGGAAGGTTTGACATCGTTGTCGCTTTTCGTTCTCGAGAAACAGACAGACGGACAGACTGACAAAACCATCACATAAAGGGAATTTTGTCCAGAATTCAATTTTCTTTGGAATTGCGCAAATACAAAAAGTTCCGTGAAAAAAATATGTTATTTGTTGTAGATCTCGAAAAAAATGCTCAATTTTGTTTCTGAGTTAGTGACAACCCACTGTGTGAAGGTTTGATAATCATTTTGTGTGATCACCATTGTTTAAATTATAAATATTGCTTAATAATAAAAAGCTTTGGGAAGCTCTCTTCACGTATGGTACTTGTTTATGGCACCAGATCAACTATGAAAACTGTTTGAATTTGCTGTACAAAACCATTTCATAATAATTCATGTAACTCATTATTACACATTTTAAACTAAGGTGCGCCCCTTCAACCGTTACAATATTATCAAAAAGTTTGAGATTTGATATTATTAATTTTTTAAAAAATAACCCGGGGATATCCGCATGATTATAAGCGCTTAATTAGCGATTTATAATGTTTTTCTTTGATATTGTGCTTAAAAGGTTAAATTTTTGGAACTTTGCAATTACAAAATTTGATCGGAAGGTTATCACGTTTACTATAAATATAACTTTAGGCACCTACTTGTGATTTAGTTCCCCAAACGCTATCATAAGACCAGTACTTACCTACCCAGATCTAACAGAATGAAATTGTTACAGATTTCCTTCGTAATATTCAGCATGTGTCTAATCGTGCACGGCTGGACCGCAAGGGAACAAGTTGAGATGGATCCAAGTAATTATACAAATACGCTTCATCTGTTTATCTAACCTTAATTTCAGATGATCCAGATGTTTGCGTTCACGAGACAATAGGAAGATTTAGAGTTGGGGAATCCAAATCACTACATCCCAAACAATGTATAAGGGCAACATGTGAAAGGGGAATGGTATCGAAGGCTGGGTAATTCTAGGTCTTATGTAGAGTTTAGAAACTTAAATTCACGCGTTTTACAGATGCGGAACCGTTTTAACCAAGCCACCATGTCATGTTGGGTCTACAGATTTGAGCAAACCATACCCGGATTGCTGTCCCAAAGTTATTTGTCCAAAGAATTGATATATCAATAGTCTTAGGGAGTGTAGTTTAGTTTCTTAGATATCTATATAGATATTAAAAATGAATTTGGTTTATAACTTCTGCACTACACATTTTGTACAATGGTGCAGATAATAGTTTTACAAGTAAAGACACGTCCAAAAATACAATTTGTAACAGATCTGGTTTGAAACCATTGAAACCTACATATGCTAGAACCAGGCTAGAACATATTTCAATTAAATACAGAGTGGCCCAACGAGAAATATACAAAGGACTTTTAGGGTATTAAATTTAGAAATTTCGAAAAGTCCTCGAACACGTCAATTTTGTATTCGAGGGGGACAACTTTTGGAATACAAATCACGAACCCAAGTGTTCACCCCTCTACGTAGGGAGCTTAACCCCTAAAATTTTAAACGGAATCCTTTGGCAAATGGCACATTATTTGAAAGCCAATTTAATCGTGATTACTAATATTCAATAGTTCAAATTTATTAGCAGAATATTGAAAAATTTAAATACTCGAGTATATTTGGAGATATTACCAAAAAAGTATTTATTTTCTTTCAAATTTGTATTTGGTCAACGTAGGAAAATTTACACGATACCGCTTCGTTCGAAACAGGAACAAAAATATGTCTAGACTTTAAAAGTGATAACGTATGCATTTCCGATAAAAACGTGTATTTTTGAAATAAACCACTAGAGTCCTCCCGAGTTAGTTAGACGAGGTTAGATTTTCGAAGAGGTAGCACGTATTAGATGTGTGCGAAAATTTTCTTTATTTTCTCATATTTGTGACCAATTCGCCAGCGATCACTTACACTCTGTTTGTGCATGAGTTGGTTTTCGTGAACCATAATAAAAGCAAACATGAATCAATTTAAATATAAAAAGTCTTATCTGACGTATTTACGAAGATTTGCGGAGAACAGGACCAGGAGGCGCTGCGGACGGTTGTTTCGGACAAATTTATATGGTTACTGTAAAGTATAACCAGTTTCCCTTTGAATGAAACTACAGAACCAGCTGGTTCTTGCTAAATTCCAATCCCGTACTTAAAAAGGTACAAGTAAAATTAGATGTGCGAGTTACCTGATAGATTACCTTTACGTCAAACAGGACAAGCAACTTTCTCAATGTTTGAGTGACACATTCGGGCCTTGTGCGATAAATAACATTTTGTACACAACGACACGTGGCAGGGAAGACAATTAATTTATGCATTTTAATAACTTGGGCAAAATTTAGTGTCAATACAGAAGAACAGTTGACATGTTACCTCTGTGCATAGATAAGCACGATCTGGAGTATTACTTTCTCGAATTTAGAAGCTGGTTTGTTTGGATTCGCCATTCATACGAATAAACGAGAAAGCGGTCAAGGTTATTTTTGTTTACATTTTATTTTATTTAAACGTATAAAGTTCCGGGAATTTTGTTTAGGTCTTTATCTGTTATCAAATGTAAATGCTTAATTTAATTGACAGGTGGGTGTGATTTATTGCCTTTTCTGTGTAGTTAAGAGAGATGAAATTTTATTTTTTCCTAAAATTTAAGTTTGGATTTATCTCTTAATTTCTGATAACAAATTGATTTAGAAAAATTAATCTATCTCTAATTTCTTGACCTAGTAACGTTCGTTGATAAGATAGTCTTGTTTCTCTCTTTGTTCTCAACTGTGTATGATTAGTTGATGTAATTTTAATTTTGAAAGAAGCGTTTAGCCTTAAATAGATCGTTAACAAGTAAAGCGTCGCTTTTAGCCACAGTCTACGCAGAAATACGTTCCGTTGAAGATTTAAAATGAGCTTTTTGCCACAGTCAACCCAAAACTACGTTTCTTTGAAAATTTAAATCGGCTTTTTGCTAAGTTCAGCATTACGTTTCGTTGAAGAATTTATTCGCTTCTTGCAAGTTCCGTCGTTGATTAATTGTTTTGAAGCCACGGCCAGTATCGAAAGATTTATTCGTCCAATGTGAGGTTAAAGATTGAAAAAGTGTCGTGTGTGAAACCGGAAGCCGAATTAGCGGCCAATTATTTTTCTACTTTTTGAAGTTTTGGCCATCAAAGGGGCTGAAAGGAGAGGTGTTTGTCGGCGCCTCCCTAAGTGTGTTTTCAACGTGACTCAGTTGAGTTTTTAGGAACGTCCTTGTCTACCCGAAGAGAAGATGCTGTGATTATCCGATGTCGTTAGTGTAAAGGCTCATTTGTGTTAAATGAAAATTTTTTGTGTGAACTGTGTACGGACACCTTTTATTTGGATATTCCAATTCTCGAACAAGTAATGTAGTTAAGTCATATTTTTAGTCTATTTGTAATAATTGTTTGTGTTTTTGTACCATTTTCATTTTGTGTGTTAAGATTAAATCGCACTTTTGTGATTTTTACATTAATTTTCCGCGTGTAACATTTCTAATTTACCTGTGTTTTTTATTGGATGCTTGCCCAAGGTCCATTTTAATTATTCAAAATTTTGCAGTTCAGTTTGTAGTTTAAAGTATTTGAGTTGACCCACTATCTGTTAGAAGTTAACAGGTTAACTGAGAGCAGAGTCGAATCTCTCCTCTGTACTGGGGAGAAGCTTTGTGCCGTGATAATAAGTGAAGGTAAAGAGCTAGCTAGGTTTTTGTTTTGGTGTTTTGTGTGCGATCTATATTAAAATTTATGCCAGTGCCGTAAAGCTTCCACTTTATTTTATACAAGAGGGGTTTTCAACCCTTACGCCCTAACGAAAACCGTTGAAAGGAGTTATAAATCTATTCAAAATTACAAGAGATTCCCTCAAACGGAATACTACTGAATTTATTATGACTAAATACTTAAATCAAATAAATTCTTATAGTCACTCCAAAAAAGAAAATCGTAATTCCTAATTAAGCTTAAAACATGTTTAAATAATCAAATTCAAATCATTAGGCACATAACGTTCAGTAAGACGCAATATATACGTGGTTTCATTCACCAATAATTTTCACGAAACGGAAATAAAAAAAGATTGTCAGTACCTTATCTCTTTTGAATTCATCCAAGTTAATTGTCTCCTCGTCTTAGGTCAAACTCCCACCTCCTTCAAGAAATAGAAGTCAAATAGTGTTGATTGGATATACGATTCTCAACAAACAGCCAAACGCCCGAATTTTTCGTTAAAGTTATCCAAGGCCTGTCCATTCATAAATGGAAAGTTATTGATTTATGGTGAAACGCAGTTGTTAACATTAGTGCACTTAATCCCGCGATCGATGCAATGTATTCACTACACTATAGTTGCAACGCACTGTATTTATTTCCTTTTATTATGAAATCTTTCACGGCCACTACATTTTCAGTTTAGTGGTCGTACCTTTGCGTAGTTCCAATAATTTCTATTTCACAGTCGGACCCTGACAGTTTACAAGTGTATACATATTGTGCCCATGCATATACACAAATGTAACATAGTGATATTCGTAAATTATTAATATCCGTTCCTGAGAGTATCCAAAATCTCGCTTTCTGCTGCTTGAAAGTATTTGTGCAAGATCGGCGTCCAGAAGATCACGGCGTTCCTTTTCTAGTATCAACCGACAAATGCGACGATTCTTTGTTAGCTTATGTCTTCAGGAAACATGCCTGATTGTAGCTTCCTGATGATGGAGTAGAAAGCAACATTTAACTCATGAATTTTCAATGGACCACTGAGTTGGACGGTATTAGCACTCTTTGAATTTTTCATAAAAAGAACGTAAAGCTGTGATTCGTATTATGGACGTGATGCTGCCTCTCCTTCCACCAAGCTCTTTCATTTCTTCACAGCTGATTGATTTGGTAGTGGTGTACTTGCAGACGGTGGATTCTGGAAGATCAATGTATTGCGTTTCCTCAACCCTGTTGTAATTGATTTTTACTTTGTTTAACCATTCAGATTCCTGTCCAATAGATATTTGAATGGAGAACTTTTTTAGAATGTCCCTTGACAGAACCTTTGATGCATGTATTTTTTATGCATGTTTGTTGCGTATATTTCACTTAACCGACTTTAACTTAACCATGAATCGTACGCCCTCTAGCAGCGAAGCTAGAAACTTGAATATCATTTCCAGCGATTTCTCTTGGCCCCTTTTGTTAAAGACATTTTTTTCCCGAAGCTGTGAAATTAACGGTTCATATTGAGCTAAATATTCCATAAGAAAAGAAAGGATGGAAAATATATAAGGTAAATCGTAGTACACCTGCTTCAGCAATAAAGAGGTAGGTAGCAATTTGTTATAAGCTTGAAAAGCGTAAATGAGCGCTTAAGTTGTTTCTCGCGATGTTTATATAAGAATAAAAACACAGCCTTGATTTGGATCTCTCCTATAGACTGTACTTGTCTGCTTGAATAGCTGAAGCATTAAAGTGCACTTATTGCACATAAAAAGCGGAAGAAAGGCGTTTTAATTTTGTAAGCAAAAACTAGTAAAACGATAAATTGTTGTAATAATGGAAAAACTAGTACACATCTGCAGTGCTTCTTAATTAAAAAAAAATAAATCGAGCGTAGTTGCTTCAAAGAGAGCTTTCAGCAAACTTTTCTTTGCTTAAATAGTTGGTAGTACAGACACATCAGGGAGAATAAAAACATGCTGCTTGAAAATTAGTTTGAGGGATCTAGTTTTCATTAAACTCTTTTAAGCGAATACAAGTGAAACACGAACAACCCTCAAGCAGCGTATGATATCTAATATAGGTATATAGCAAACAGAGGAATCGCCATGAGTGTTGTAGCAAGCACCTGAATGAACAAATGATTCACGACGAAAAACCATTAAATCGAACAAATTGGGAATTGCTGTAAACATCACACACTCTTATCTATCCTTTCTGAAAGAAAAAAACGATTTTAACTAACGGAATTGAAGCAAATGGTGTGTATCAATGAGAATAAAAGCTAGCGGAATTAAAACGGCATGATTAAATGGTTTCCGCAACTCTAAAATGGGCAGTGATTTGTCAAGATGACAATCCTACTGTATCCACCATGATATATTGTCGGGTCATTTCACTTGACTCGATATTCGAGATACTCTAATGGCATCTCTCGTTACAAGAGATGTCCGAGATTCTGTCGGAGCAAAAACGACGGTAATTACATCCCTATCAGTTTTTACAAGGTATTAATAATCAATTTTAACGGACGAGGCGGATTTATTTCAGAGTTTTTGGTGCATTAA